CATCGGAAACCGCCCCAATATGAGACGGCCGGGCAGAACTTCCTATATAAGGAGCTAATTGAACACTTTAAGTTAGTTCATGTACCTAATCATCCAATACACCTCTACAAAATTATTAACAATTAGATAAATTAAAGCAATCTAGAGTAATGTTTCCTAATATTTGGACATTAAACTCATATGTGAGCTTTATGAAAGTTATTGGGTGAACAATTAAGAGAGTCACAATGTGAAAATTGTGTACAGAAAATCACGAAAATCAAATAATCAATATATGAAGAAAATAAATCTTGTAGAAGTTAACAAAGGAAGGATGATGAATGATATTGAATATTAAAAATCTAAAATAGTGAACTTTGAGCACCAAGTCCTTAGAATTCCAAAGGATAGCCGATTAGTTGAATATTTTTCAAAAAATTAGAGGGAATAAGTGTCATATACTAATGTACTACTATTCATATATACTTAATATATTAAATAATAAATACATAAACTATTAAAATATGTAAGTTAATTGTGCGGGTCGGGTAATGGTGTGGGTAACCGTATCCAAATTAAACAGGACGGGTAACGGGGCGGGTAGGTATAAACTCATAACCGCCCCATTACCCGTTTACATAAATCGGGTATTCCCCGTTCCGTACCTGTTACCCATTCAAAGAGGTTTTCCGCATTTTGACCGGTTCAGTTCGGTGCGGATATCCATCTGGTCGGGTTAAATTATCATCCCTAGAAAAAAGTAAGGTAAGAATTTGGTCACCTTGCATTTGAAATAAAAATGAGTTTGATTGTTAATGTTCATGCTATATTCATAATGAATTTTTTCATACATGTACGTAGCTCCTAATCATGGAAAGTGCATTCGAAGGTGTTTGCGCCATCTTCCTCAACCTTATATAAAAAGTGTCCCAATTTTAATGTCGGTCGGATCTATATTTGATCTAGGACTGACATTGAAGTGTTTTTTCCACTAGTGTCATTAAGTTTCCATAGCCATCTAATAACATGGGTAAACAATCTAGTATAAATAAAAAAGTTAGTACACAAACTACCAAAGCCATTTGGATACATCTTCATTCCATTCAAGTGAACCCATGTGAGATGGGACTTCATATGGTCAGCTAATACTCTGGCAATAAAACTATAAATGTCTTTACACAGTGCTATCAACCTCTAGTCGCCCATAAAGATGATCAATTTTTGGAACAAGAAGTATTATCTTTAAACGTGGTCTGACAGGGGTATCTATGTGAAAAGTCCGTATTTAGACACGCATTTGATGCGTGTTCAGGTTGGATTTTGATGGTTTTCCTAGCTTTAAGGTGTTGCAAGTCTCAGACGTTGGGACGAATTTCTTTGCATTTGGAATTGAATTGAAGAAGTTAGAGACTGGCAATCAGTGCTTGAGAGGCATTCAGGAAGGATTTGAAGGCATTCGAAGAAGATTTGAGAGATTTGGAGGTCATCGGGAGATTCACGACGAAATTCTGATGAAGAACGAGTAATTGATTGACCTTGTATACATCCGGGAGCGTTTGGAACAAGGAAACGAAGAGAAAGTGAAGAATAAGGTCACGCACGGTCGTGCCCAGCGTTAGGCACGCCGTGCGTGCCTTGTATAAAGCAGGAAAGCTACTGGAGGCCAGGCAAGGTCGTGCTTGGCAGTCAGGCACGCCGTGCCTGAAGTGAAACGAGGAACAAAGCTACTGGAGGCCAGGCACGCCGTGCCTGGACGCCTTTTACGGGTTTCTTCCGCAGGCACAGTCGCAGGCACGGTCGCAGGCACGGTCGTGCCTGGCGCCGTGCCTTACCCCGTTTTATCCTAATTCAGCTCAAATTGCTTTGTTTCCTTTAAATACCACCCCTATCACCCTAATTAGGGGGGATGGAACTTATTTAGCAGAGAGAGGACAAATTTGAGAGCTTTTAGCCCTGGTTTTTTCTATTCTTTGAGATTCTTTGTAAGTTCCTACTTTTTAATTAATGACAATTATTTCTATTCTTCCCAATTCTATTGATTCTTCAATTATGAGTCGGGAGTAGTTTTAATTAGGGATTTGGGATTGATAAAGGGGTTAATCACGATGTATGGTTAGGTTCTTGATGGTGTAAATTGCATGAATGCCGTTTAATTTGTGTTTGAGTAATTTAATTGATATCTTTTGTAACCTAGATGGCCACTAGAATTACAATCGCATGTAGAATGAATTAAGAGAGATCTAATTTGTTTTAGGACACATTCACACACACTTAATCGTTTGCTAAGAGATTAGTAGCGATTAAGGGGCCGTAAGCTCGTTTGTCTTGGCAATAATTTAGGATCTTGTCGCATGAGAGATCAGTCTGGTCCCCTAAATTATTGTACTCTACGCCGCGAGAGCGGTAAGAACTTAGTATTGATTAGTTAGGCTCAATTAATTTAAATTCATGTAATTAAGCCTGATCTGTCAGAAATCTGATTACCCCGGAATCAATCCCTGTTCCCTTCGTCGTTAATTAAGAAGAACTCAAATATTTACTTTTAGTCGTTTATTTGCAATTTTAGTTTTCTCAATCAACCAAATCTCGCACGACTACTTCTATTTTATTTCTTTTCTTTATCTCTGATTTTAGTCAGTCGTTAATTCCCTTTTTACCGTCCCTGTGGAGACCATACTCGTATTTTCACCGTTATTCTACAATCTTTCTAAGTGCGAGAAAACTCACATCACTATGTAAAAAGTGCATAGGGCCGCGACAAGTATCATAGATAGAGGACACTCGTTATCTATCAGCTTGTAATTAAAGTCTAATTTACATTTTCTCGTTTAACTGTCTAGATGATGCTTGACTGTTGAGACTTCAGGAATGGGGTGTCATCATTTTTAGAAAATTTTAATAGAATCTCGGGGGTTGAGACCATCAAGACTGAGTGCTACTTGGGTACATGTTGAAAAGTGCACACTTGACTTCTTCTGAACAGAGAGACCTCCAATGCATAGCATTCTGGGATGACAAAAACCCTTCCCTCCATATTGTAATAAGTGAATTATCTAAATAAGAGTAAAATATACCAAACAATCACAAACATGACTATATTGTTTAAAATTGCCTAAATAGAACTAATCATGTGTGTTTGGACCAATATACCCCTACAATGAATAGGAATGGTCAGCCGCCACCGCTGGCTGTCCAGAATTTCTAGATCAGTTTTTTTGCCAGTTTCCCGCGGGGGAGACTCGCCGGAGCTCTACTGCCGCTGCCGTACTGTCCCGCCATCAACGGATTGCACTGGTTGCCCAATGGAATTAGGGGGGCAATCAATTAGTTAGATTAGGGATATTAACGGTAGACAATTAATGTTTAGTTCTATTTGTGACAGATTTAGATTTTAGTCAAATTTAGAATAATTTAACTATTTAGTCCTATTTAGAATAATTACTGCGAAGTATACTCTAATGTCAACATGCTTAGATGTGAAAATAGTGCGAAAATAAATATTCACCATTTCCCCCACTCGATTTCCACCCAAGGCCTAGGCATCAGTCTTTTCCCGGAGTTCCTCTAGTTGGTTCCATCAATGTTGTTCAATTAAATTTATGAAAAAACCAGTGTTAAAATTATCTTTCTCAAGCTAGAATTTCTTAACAAGTTGCTTCCAAAATAACATTTTGTAGCTCCAAAAGTTTAGGTGGGTAGACTTCACACTAAAATAATCTGCATATCCATGAATTGAGGAGTAAGGGTGTTTGGAATTTATTCTGCTTGTTTTCTAAAGGCAGAAGCAGAAGCAGAAGCAGATTTTTTTAAAAAAAATTTGGTCACCCTCAACAAATATTTGGTTCTACTTTCTCAAAGAGCAGAAACAATTTTAGGAAGTAGATCTAAACATAAAAGTTTGTGCACTATTTGTATACATGTCTGTCTATATAGACAATTGCACAAACAATTGGAGATAACTTTTGAAATTTTTGTAAACAACCTACCTGTATTAAAGGTGAGCAAAAAATGTACAATTTTTTGTACATATAATTTTTTTGAATTATTAAAGGGAAAACGTATAATTATATCCATGTAGAATGGATGTGAGAACAAATATACTCATGTTTTATTTTTCGAAACAAATATACCCCTGAAGTATATGTGAAAGTGCATATATACCCCTGAACTGTTTGAAAGGTGCAAAAATATTCTTCATGTTCTTATAAAGGAGTAAATATACCCTTATTGGCTTTAAATTGATATTAAAAAAATTCAAAAACCACCAAAGATATATTATAAATTCAAAATTAAAAAATAATAAAAATAAAAATATACTTGTGTCCAATTCTCCCTTTTATTGTTTGTATATCACAATTAATATTGTTAGTATAAAACATTATTTCAAAACTTTGCTATATATTTAAGATTCTTTGGAAAAGTGTTAACATATGTGTTAAAATGTAAAAATATATTATTATTATTATTATTATTTTTGCATTCTTTGCACTATAAAATTACATATTTTGTATGATGATAAATAGTCCAAAATAAAAAAAAATAGTAAATTTAATTTTATTAAGGTTAAACAAAATCAGAGAATATTATTTTAAAAAATATAACGTGTTCAAAATTTCACGAAAAAACTAAAATTAATATTTATGAATTTGAAGTGATTCATTTACAACGAAATAATAATAATTTTACGATTTAAAATCAAATAGTTAATATTTTAACATAATAATAAATCTTTATTTTTAAATTTCAAATGTATGATTTATTTTTGATATTTTTTGAAATATATTTTATCTATTTAAAGTAAATAAGAGTGAATTTATTTCTTTATAAGAAAATGAGGAATATTTTTGCACTTTTAAAAGTTGAGAAGTATGAGGTGTTTGGAACTAATTCTAATTTTGCTTCTTTTTTAAAGCAGAAGCATAATCAGAATCAGTTTTCAGAAGCTGTTCACCCTAACTTCTAACAAACCGATTCTAGGAGTAAGATTTTAAAATAACATTTTCCTTTGTTAAACCGGTATCACTTCTGCACTCTTACCCGTGTAAGATTTGATTCTTTTGGGATAGAAACCCAAACACTCCTGTTTTAAGAATCAAATCACATTTTCCTTTGTTAAACGCTAATCTCCTTCTTTCTGGGTTTCTATCCCAAAAGAAACAGTTTCTGCAGACTGGAAATTGAAATGGAGGACGCGGAGGAAATACTGAGGGTGTTGGAATCCTCCTTGTCCCAAATCAAATGGCGCCTCAAGCTTTCTTCTAAGCGTCGCCTTGAAACTGGTTCTTTCTATCTATCTATATATTTAGTATCTCTCTCTAGCTTCCTTATAAATATGATTTCTACTGACAAAGCAGCAACTAAATGTTTCTTAATTCCTCTCTTTTATAGGAATGATTCTTTGATTTGATATGGTTTAGAACTTTATTTATATATGGTGGGAACTTTTATATTCGTGTGAGCTAATATCGAAAATGATTTGGTCAGACATTTTGGCATTGTGCTCTGAGATGCGACCCGTTGTAATGGTGGATTATGGCGGAAGGATGCCAGAACTTCAACACAGGCTTTGTGCTTTCCTTAAACATTGCAGAAATGTTGGCCTCTGATCTCTGTTTGTGTATCTTATCCTTAGAAGTCTACATTTTTATAAAACCTCAACCTGTTTTGGATTCAATCAATATCCCAATAAACCCTTTCTTTATCTTTTAATGTACTAATCTTAATTGTCTTGCATGTGAATGATGTTAACGTAGCCACTGCAAAAATATTGACACCTTTTGGAAGGCACTAAATGAAATTATTCAACAATTGGATTAACCCAATACTGTGATATGTTTGACATTGTTGACATTAGAGTTTTCTTGCAAATCTACAATTTCAGCTGTTTTTATAATTTTGTGCTGTTGTTTTTTGAAAATTTAGTAATGTTTAGGAGCATTCTGTTCTGTTTTTGTTTCTCCAGAACATGTCATAAACTTCTGCTGTTTATAAGGTGTGTGTTATTTGAAGTTTATCATTATATTTCAACATTTTAGTTGAAGTATTCATACTACTGCGTATAATTTAAAGTTTTCCTGCACAGTTTTGAAGTTTTCTTACTATTATTTGAAAGCTGTTTTCCTTTTAACTCAATTCATACTATTATTTGAAGTTTTCCTTTACAATTTCCAGGAATCTTCTGCTTTTGAGAACCTGCGAGTTATGATAATTGAAGACATGATTTATCTGGTTCATCTCAAAGCATTTCATGAATTCAGTAAATTGAGCTTGAACCTAGAAATGGAATTTCTCTTTATAGATCTTGAGCATGATCCTCCAAAGGTTCACTCTGTGTCTCTTGTGACATAATTTATTTATACTTGTTTACTTTTTCATTGAGAATTGCTAAATGTAAGTATTTCAGATGATAACAAGAGCCACTGAGGAGAGACCTGCAATTGTGGCACTTGTGATGGCACAGAGAATATTTTCATCGCTCCTTTCTGAAGGGGTAATAAGTTGCAATCATTCAGAACATTCTAGTTCAGAGTTGATGGCTAACAATAGGCCACATAGCTCACAGTCATCTGAGCTTATTGATCTCAGTAGGGACATTGAAGAAACTGGGGTCACCGTGCCAACACTTAATGGGTAACCTCTCTTTTCCCTAGAATTTCTCTTATTGATCTGTTTTATGATAGCCCTATGTGAGGTGTCATGTACAGGCTATCCGTAATCTGAGGCATATGCTATGGTTTTCAACAGATTTTAGAACATTAAATTGCAATTAAAAAATTATGCCAAATGCCCCTTTATACCCAACTCTGAGTAACACAGTTTCATGTCTTCTCTCAATATTATCCATAACATTAACGGATGTTGCGTTAATCATTGTCATGCTGCAGATTGCTTCATACAAAGAAGTAAACACTTTTAACTGCCTATTCCCTATGATTGTGAATCTGTGATAAACAACTATGCCGCTCATTTGTGATTTTTTCTTTGTCCTTTGGTGACTCATATTCTTAATTTCACTTTAACTTTTTGTAACACGTGACTTTCAAGTAATTAATCGATGTATTGTTCTGTTTCTATGAAGATGGCTTCTTGGATATCCTGTAGTATATCTGTTTGGCAAGGATCATATTAAAGATGCCATATATAATCTCTCCACCAAGTCCCTTCATCTCTTCCAAATTTTAGCCTGCAGGTTAGATCATGCTTTAACAATTCTTTACAGAAGACTAGCATTTTGTTGTTGACATCATCTATCCTTGAAAGCAACGTTAACTCGAAGGATCACTATGTGACCTTAACTTATACTTTATCCAGAAAGGGTGCGGGCAATGATCGATCTCAATCTCAAAAAGAAGAATTATTGAGGTAAGTAGGAAGAAATGATACCGCTTAATCCTTTTAGCTAACCCCAGCATAGTGGAAAACCTTAGTTTGGTTTGGTTTGGTTGGTTTCAGAAGAGCATATTTATGTCTGCCAAAACATGAATACCTTCTCAGATACACAAGAGGCATGGTTTCTTTGTTTAGTTTATATATATGCTTGTTTAATTTGTTTGGGCCATGTGCCCTCTTCTTGAATAGCTTGATAAACATTTTTTTTATAGAAAAACAAAACATATAGATCAGATAAACAATACTTATCAGCCTCAAATTTATGATGAAATTAATTCTCTATGTATCAACTTAATGATCTTTTGGCTTGATTCTCCAATTACCAACAGTTTCTCTGTTCCTTATGAACTAAGCTTGGCGGGGAGTGACGAACCATGGGCAAAGGGTTTTTTAGCTCACATGCAAGAAAGGCAAACCAAGCACAACCATGTCTGGGAATCCCTTAGGATGGAGGTTGTTGCTTGCTATCCACAGGCAATTGCGTTTTAGTACAGGCTTATTATTAGTAGTAGTAGTAGTTAAAATGCGAGTGAAATGCATACATGTATTAGAGGATAATTTAAGGAGCGTGTTTGGGAAGTGGTTTCATCTTGTTTGGTGGTTGTGCAACATGCAGTCACCTTGCAAAACATATATGTCTCTTGTTCCATATTTCTCTTATTGCCTCATTTCTTTTTAAAAAGTCTTGTGTCATTGATATTATTTGTGTGGGAAAAATTGTATTGCATTAAATGATCATTTTCAGGCCGTATTTTGAGTGAGGTCCACTTCCGATTTGGGTTGGGTCAAAGTGGTTTCAGATTCTTCTTTTTAAGGGGTTCAATTCGATGTGTTAACACTCAAAATGGATAACGGACGAGTGAGAAAATGATTCTCGAAGTTCACTACTTGATGAGATGGAGAAATTGGAAAACTTCTGAAGGTAGGAGTGTAGGACTAAACGTAGAACTATCGTCGTTTAATGGATGTTTTAATCTCTCCTTTGAATCGCTACAGATTCAAACGTTGTCTAATGTTTAAAAATTGAAAAACATGATTAAAGCATGAGTTAATTACATGATCAATGGCCTGAAATGTTCAAGATCATTGAAACACAATAAGTGTGTGTTTAATGGTTGGTTTCACACAATTTTTTTAGAGTATTAGAGCAGTCATATTTACTACTACCACGTAAAAGAGTTGCCCTTGGAGAATCTACTAGGGGATATATAGCAGCAAAACACGATTAAAGCAACAAGTAAACGGGGCGGACTTGAAGTTCACTCAAATGTCCAAGCATTCTCCCTTCTGACCTCCTCTTCTTCCTCTGGTGTGAAGTCATTCTTGATGTTAAACGTTTTGCGGATCTCCTCTGGTGTCTTCCCCTTGATCATGACAGCAACAATTTGACAGGTGAGATCAAGCAAGCTCTTTATGTTGAGGTAATTGGCAGCCAGGATGAGATCGAATAGGGCTCCCTGGTCAACTTTGACGAACTCAGCATCAAACGACTTGAGGTCGTCATCGCTGGGCTTATCCTCCGACTTACCAGCCTCGACATGGTGCTTGCATTACTCAATGACCTTAGCGAGAATCTTGCTGGTGACGTTTGGGAGGGGGATCACAGTATCGGCGTAGTTGTCGTCAATCATGTGCTTGATCGTCTGAGACTGCTCAACCACCATCACTTCGACCTCGAAGGTCTCACGCGTCGGAGCTTTTGAGGACTATCATCTTCGAGGTAGACATGGTGGAGATTGATTACGAAGGTCGAATCTAAAAATTGGCAGCCTTAATAAGTGTGTGTATAATCAATACAAAGGCTCCTCCTCTATATAAGCTTGACAGCAGATTTTTGGAAGAACACATTGAGTACACATGATCAAGGAAAACACTGAGTACACAAAAATACTCGCTTTATAGTCTTTCCAAAAGAAAAACTCTACCATACTTTCGATTAAACTTCCAAGTTCTACCCTTTGTTCCAGTTCGCCGGAGCAACATATTGAGTGATCAATACGATTTTCGTCAGTCATCGTATTCTGAGAAACTTACACTGCAATGTTCCCAACATCGTGGAGGTAGTGAATTAGTTTTAAGGACATTGTGCATCGCCCACGCTTTGACTATACTTGTGCCAGTTTTTTGTTCAGTTCTTTTGGCTAATTTTAAATTTCTTATTTTTTGGAAAAACAAAAACACAGTCTTCCGTGAAATTTGTTTCCTTTTAACATCGACCACTATCATACAATTTTACTTTTCTTATAAGTGTTCCTAATCAAACTTGAAAGAAAATTTTGATACAGAAGAGGAGTATTATTAGAAATATTAATTCAAGCATATTGTGAACGGAATTTAAAAATCTAAAATTACAAATACTTGGTATTTTATAAAAAGAGTCGTATTTTATTAGCTATTTGTCCATAAAAAAGAGCCATGTTTGATCAAAATTAAAACACAGCTTATTGAAATTTGAAAAAAATAGAAGCTAGAGTAAAAACAAGCAAGTTAAATTTACTTAAATCCCATTTGATGATCCTGTTTTTCGGCTTATCAAGCTTATCAATCAAGTTTTTCATCAAACATGTAACTTTTGATTTTGTGCGCTGAATTATGTAACAATAGGAAAAGTAGGACTGAAGTTACTTTTCTGGCTGTATTGACTGAAGTTATGTAAAAGATCATTTAACTGTTTTTCGCATAATTTTTTCTTTATTTTATTAATAAAATATATTTTAAATATAAATTATTTCATAAATCACCAGAATCAGCCAATTCAGACACTTCAGTCAGAATTTCATAAATTTCAGCATAATCAATCAATAGAGTTGTACCCATGTACCATTTATAACTTATATCAGTGTGTTTTATGAAACATAAATATTTGTACTACGTTCAAACATGAATACATGACTCTTATAAATAATAATCTACTAGTGTAACACTCGGGGCATGCCCCGGTAGTGTTAATTTGACATGGATCTGGTGAAATAAATTAAACATTGTAAACTATTCATAAGATAGGATCAAAATTTTGATGATTGCTTTTATGAACTAACCACCACAATGGAATACAGATGAAGAATCACCATCTTTTGGAGTACTAATTTGTGGTTATAATTTTGGTTTATGTGCTTATTATTGTAAAAGTTATTAATTATGGGACTAACCACCACCGTGGAATACTCCACTATTATAGGGCTAATTATATGATAAGGAATGATAAGAAGAAGCGTTGAATTAGAATTGAAAATATGTAGAGTTTATAATTTACATTATTTTGGATATTCACATGTATTATTGATATTGTATGATTAGAGTCCCGTCCACGTGAATTAAAGTTTCATTAAAAAATTTGAAATATTTCAAAATTGAGCATACATTATAGTGTGAACTTTTTATGACTACTGCTACTAACAAAGTGACATATTTGTTAGCAATTTGAAATCATGTTTTACTAAATAAAATAATAAATTTAAATATTTAATGAAAATTGGATTACTTATATATGTGTTATGACTATTGTGTAAATGTGCATTTCCCATAATTCACATTTAAACTCAAAATTTACTATAGATATTATATATCATTGATCTATAGCTCAATTATTATAATAGTTTTTATATATATGTAATTTGGTGTCATATGAAAGATCATAAAATTTTATGATTTTTTATACTACCTCCGTTCTCTTTTAATTGCAACATTGGACCTTTTGCACTATTCACAAATTCTACTTTGAGTATATTTTTTTTTTTGTATTATAAATTAATTTTTTTAAAAAAATATTCTTAAATTCTTCTCATTCTATATTTTCAAAATCTGATTTCTTTTTAAATTTTAACTAATAAGAAATGAAAGATATTAATGGTCAAACTTGTGCGTTGGCAAATGTAAAAAGTGGATTGTTGCAATTAAAAAGGAACAAAGGAAGTATATGTTTTTTTAATTTTGGAATGATGCACTGAATGAGTTTATATATGCAATATTGATGGCATATGAAAGATCAATGAGTTTTGATATAATTTTCGTAAAGATTGGAGTACAAATAAAAAGTTATAACACGTTAAAATATATTTTCTCTTTCACTTTCTCCAAATGAGTTTGCCTGATTAATATGAATAGCACTCATCCACCAAGTGAATAGCAGAGATGCATTGAGTGATCTTGGATTAATTAAATGTTTTAATAGTAATGATTATAAATCTTTTATTAGCCAATAAGAGACTAACACCTCGTTGATTTTAACCTAAATGTATTGTATAAATAATGTTTTTATTTTATATATGCAATATTGGTGTCATATGAGAGATAATAGAATGTTATAAATTTTGGTGTATTTTCTGTAAAAATTGGAGTACAAATAAATGAGTTTTAATACATTTAAAAAAGTTTTTTTCTCCTTCATTTTCTCCAAATGAGCAGTGATACATGTACTGAATAGCAATGATGAACCAAGTCAGCTTATATGAAATAAATGTTTTAGTAGTAGTGATAATAGAATTTTTATAAATCAATAGAATATTTAACTCGGATTTGTTATATAAAATACTACCTTCATCTCATTCAAAAGTTCTCGTCCACTATTATCCGATCAACACAAAGTCTTCTCAATCTATTACTTTGTATATCCAATTTTAATCAAATTTGAATTTTTCTTTTGCGACTTTATAAAACTTTTGATGTAGTCTCTGGATATGTAAATTTTATTTGCTAAAAAGAACTTATTACGGATAGGATCAATTAACTTTATGATCAGTTAAATATCGTAAACCGTGTGGAACCTTTCTATGGGAAGTAGATATATATCTTACTATCTACCGTGTGGAACCCACTTCCATGCAGGTTAGTATTTTAAGCATGGTTTGTATTTGATCTGTTATATATATATATATATATATAAGAGATCAAATACAAACCATGCTTAAAATACTAACCTGCAAACTCAATAATATGCATCACTTTGAACTTCAATATGCAGTAAAAATAATGTAAAGATGCAGGGGTGGGATTACATACAAACTAGTCCTCTCATTCAAATCATCTTTGCATTATTTGTATTGCACATTGAAGTTCAAAGTGTTTCATATTATTCAAGCCATAAAATAGCAATTTCATGTTTACATTATTTGTATTGCATATTGAAATTCAAAGAGTGCATCTCTACATTATTTGTATTGCATATTAAAGTTCAAAGTGCTGCATATTATTGAGTTTGTAGGTTAGTAAGTTAAGCATGGTTTGTATGTGATCTCACCCCTATATATATGATATTGGTGTCATATGAAAGATAATAAAAAGTTACTCCCTTCGTCCCATTAGAAGGTTCTCACTTTCCTTTTTTGGACGTCCCGTTAGAAGGTTCCCATTTCCATTTTAGGAAACAATTAACAATCTTAAGTGATAAATTAATCATTAAATATTAAAAATAATACATTTATAACATCACAATTATCAATACTAACTACATTATAATATATACCTATTAAAATTATTTCTCAAAATATACTCGAAGTACTTTATTTAATTATTGTCTAAATAACCGTGCCGTTTTGCTATGAGAACATTCCAACGGGACGGAGGGAGTATGAATTTTGATATAGTTTTTATAAAAATTGGATTATATATATAAAAGTTATATCACTTCAAAAAAAGAGATTATTTCTCTTTTTTTTTGCTCCAAATCGGTTGTGATGTAGGAAGTTAATTAATTGTTTTAATTGTTGTCATACTAGAATTTGCTTTATCAAATGGGAAG